GATGATGATGATTATTATTATTATTATTGACACAAAAGCACAGTATGTCACAGCAAACAAGATCTCTATGCTGGATTTCGTATCACAAAATCACAAGTTGAACACTTCCCAAGCATCTAGGACTGTGTGATGTATTATTATTTTATTATTATTATTGACACGAAACTACAGTATGTCACAGCAAACGAGATCTATATGTTGGATTTCGTATCACAACAAGTTGAAGTCCCCTGGGAATAAAGTGTATTATTATTATTATTATTATTATTATTATTATTCTAACACAAAAACATAATATGTCACAGCACATGAGATATTTATGCTGGATTTCGTATCACAAAATCACAAGTCGAACACTTCCCAAGCATCTAGGACTGTGTGATGTATTATTATTATTATTATTATTATTATTGAACACAAAAGCACAGTATGTCACAGCAAACAAGATCTCTATGCTGGATTTCGTATCACAAAATCACAAGTCGAACACTTCCCAAGTGTCTAGGACTGTGTGATGTATTATTATTATTATTATTATTATTATTATTGACACAAAAGCACAGTATGTCACAGCAAACGAGATCTATATGCTGGATTTCGTATCACAAAATCACAAGTCAAACACTTCCCAAGCATCTAGGACTGTGTGATGTATTATTATTATTATTATTATTATTATTATTATTATTATTATTATTATTGACACAAAAACACAGTATGTCACAGCAAACGAGATCTCTATGCTGGATTTCGTATCACAAAATCACAAGTCGAACACTTCCCAAGTGTCTAGGACTGTGTGATGTATTTTCGAATGATGCGCGCAGATCCTTTTGCAGTTGACCGATTGTGATTTTGTCGATGTTTATTGTTTCCAAATGCCAGCTGAGATCTTTGGCCACGCGGCACCCAGTGCACCAATGACCACTGGGACCACCTGGACTGGTTTATGCAATCAGAGCCTTTGCCGTTCGATTTTGAGGTCTTGATAGTGGCTGAGTTTCTCCTGTTGTTTTTCCTCAATGCGACTGTCACCCGGAATGGTGACATCAATAATCCAAACTTTTTTTCTTTTCCACAATCGTGATGTCTGTTGTATTGTGTTCCAAAACTTTGTCAGTCTGGATTCGAAAGTCCATTATTATTATTATTATTATTATTATTATTATTATTATTATTAATTATTTTGTCTAAAAAAAACCCTCTTTGCTCTCTTCTAGCGGTTTGAACACTCAGCCAAACTGAGGCGAAAGATTACTACATATGTCTCCTTTCCATTGGAGTTGGACATGACACCATTTATGGCTTCCAGGTATGTGGAAAGAGTTGTTCTTGTGGGAAACGATTCCCTTTAGGATACGGATCCATTTGGGAGCCAGTTACATTAAGCTAACAGCAAAAAAAGAAGTCAGCACACTTCGTTTTCTGGACGGAAGCAAGTTATGATATCATTTAGTATCAGAGTTTGGTTTTTAAAAATGGTTAAATTTAAACTGATTCCAAAACTGTATACAAATACAATAAATAAATAAAATAAAATAAAATAAACTTAATTAAGTGAAAGCACTCTTGGGCTGACAACAAACAAGTTGAGTTCCACACTCTCTTTAAGGTGTAATGTTTGTTCAAATAGTTTAAAATAGTTTTAAAATAGTTTAAAATAGTTTAAAAATAGTTTAAAAATAGTTTTAAAATATAGTTTAATAGTTAAATAGTTTAATTTACCATTTAATTAACTATGTCTAATTTAGTAGTTAATAGTTTAAATTTGCACCTGGTTAATATTTGGCTAAACGAATCATCTTATGTTTCCTTTGATGTCATTTGCTAAAAGGAGTAATCTGAAGGAAATGTTTCTTTTCCTCTTCCAAAATTCACTGGTTGTTCAGTCTAGTGAATAGAGTTGGAAATGTATAAGATGTAAATGTATGTTAAAAAAAGGGGGGAGGAAAACAATGGGATAAAAACGTATAGTGAGAGAGAAAAAGAAGAAGCAAAGGTAATATAATCCCCTGAGAGTAAACTTGGAACTGAACTGTGTCTTCTGGAATATCAAAGGTCTGGACACTCTTCAAAAACGAAGAAGAATCTTCCATCGCTTGGGTAAGGATAAACGTGATGTATTTTGTTTGCAGGAGACTCACATAAAATAGAGAGATAGAAGATTGTTACCTAGAATCCTAGAGTTGGAAGAGACTTTGTGGGCCATCCAGTCCAACCCCATTCTGCCGAGAAGCAGGAAAATCACATTCAAAGCCCTCCCCATAGATGGCCATCCAGCTTCTGCTTCAAAGCCTCCAAAGAAGGGGCCTCCACCACACTTTGGGGCAGAAGGTTCCACTGCTGAACAGCTCTCACTATCTTCCTAATGTTTATTTATTTACAGTATTTATATACTGCTTCTCTTACCCCTGGGGGGACTCAAAGGGGTCATGTTCAGGTGGCATCTCCTTTCTTTGCTCAAGGGCACCTGAGGGAGAGAGTTCCACTGCTGAACAGCTCTCTCTCACAGTTAGAAAGCTCTTCCAAACGTTCAGGTGGAATCTCCTTCCTTTCCATGCCCAGCTCTTTAAGCCGCTCCTCATAGGGCTTGTTCTCCAGACGCTTGATCATTTGAGTTGCCCTCCTCTGGACACATTCCAGCTTAGAGTCAACATCTCCCATCGATTGTGGTGCACAGAATTGATTCTTTTTAGGAAGTCTGCTCCCTCCTCCCTAGGACTTCCTCTCACATATTTATACATGGCTATCATGTCTCCTCTCAGCCTTCTCTTCTTCAGGCTAAACATGCCCAGCTCTTTAAGCCGCTCCTCATAGGGCTTGTTCTCCAGACGCTTGATAATTTGAGTTGCCCTCCTCTGGACACATTCCAGCTTAGAGTCAACATCTCCCTTCAATTGTGGTGCCCAGAAGTGGACACAGTATGATTCCAGGTCTGACCAATGCAGAATAGAGCATGGGGAGTATGACTTCCCTGGATCTAAGCACTAGATTCCCCTCACATATTTATACATGGCCCTCATCATGACTCCCCTCAGCCTTCTCTTCTTCAGACTAAACATGCCCAGCTCTTTCAGCCGCTCCTCATAGGGCTTGTTCTCCAGACCCTTGATCTTTTGAGTCGCCCTCCCTTGGACACATTCCAGCTTAGAGTCAACATCTCCCTTCAATTGTGGTGGTCAGAATTGGACACATGGTGATTCCAGGTAAAGTGGTCTAACCAAGGCAGAATAGAAGAGAAGGGTAGCATGACTTCCTTGGATCTAGGCACTAGGTTCCTCTTGATGCAGGACAAAATTCCATTGGCTTTTTAAGCCGCTGCATGACATTCCTGGCTCCTGTTCCCCTTCCTCCCCACGAGGACTCCAAGATCTTTTCCACACGTCCTGCTCTCGAGCCAGGCATCGTCCCCAATTTTGTCTTTCTGCATTTCCCAATTTTTCTGCCTAAGTGGAGTCTCTTGCATTTGTCCCTGTGGAACTTCATTGTGTTAGTTTTGGCCCATCATCTCTTTCATCTGTGAAGGTGGTTTTGAATTCTGCTCCTGTCTTCTGGAGTCTTGGCTCTCCCTCCCCATTTGGTCCCTCTTGCAAACTTGATGATCCTGCCTTCTAACCCTTCATCTAAGTCATTAATGAACATCCTGAGCAGGACCAGGACCAGGATGGGAACCCTCCTGATGGCAGTCCACTCCTCCCTTCTTTCCAGGAAGACGAGGAGGAAACAATGGGGAGAACCACCCTCTGGGTTCTCACCACTTATCCTAAAATGGGAAAGGAATACATTGCAGTCACAAAAGAAAAAAGAAATGGGTGGCTTTTTACATTAACATCAACATAATCTCAGAAAAAATGTCATCCACATACTGAAGGTCATCCACATACTGAAGGATGTTTTCCACGTACTGAAGGAACTGTGGGAGTTGAAGTCCAAAACAGCTGCTGGGCCCAAGTTGGCCCATGCTTGTGCTATGAGTATGTTATCCACATACTGAAGGAATTGTGGGAGTTGAAGTCCAAAACACCTGGCAGGCCCAAGTTGGCCCATACTTGTGCTATAGGTATGTCATCCACATCCTGAAGGATGTGATCTATGTACTGAAAGAACCGAGGGAGTCAACGTCCAAAATATCTGGAGAACCCAACTTGACCCATACCTGTGCTATGAGTATGTTATCCACATACTGAAGGAATTGTGGGAGTTGAAGTCCAAAACACCTGGCGGGCCCAAGTTGGCCCATGCTTGTGCCATGAGTATGTCATCCACATACTGAAGGATGTTGTCCATCTACTGAAGGAATTGTGGGAGTTGAAGTCCAAAACACCTGGCGGGCCCAAGTTGACCCATGCTTGTGCCATGAGTATGTCATCCACATACTGAAGGATGTTGTCCACCTACTGAAGGAATTGTGGGAGTTGAAGTCCAAAACACCTGGTGGGCCCAAGTTGGCCCATATCTGTACCATGAGTATGTCATCCACATACTGAAGGATGTTGTCCACGTACTGAAGGAATTGTGAGAGTTGAAGTCCAAATACACCTGGTGGGCCCAAGTTGGTCCATACTTGTACCATGAGTATGTCATCCACATACTGAAGGATGTTGTCCACGTACTGAAGGAATTGTGAGAGTTGAAGTCCAAATACACCTGGTGGGCCCAAGTTGGTCCATACTTGTACCATGAGTATGTCATCCACATACTGAAGGATGTTATCCACGTACTGAAGGAATTGTGGGAGTTGAAGTCCAAAACACCTGGTGGGCCCAAGTTGGCCCATGCCTGTGCCATGAGTATGTCATCCACATCCTGAAGGATGTGATCCATGTACTGAAGGAACTGAGGGAGTCAACGTCCAAAATATCTGGAGAACCCAACTTGACCCATGCATGTGCTATGAGTATGTCATCCACATACTGAAGGATGTTGTCCACCTACTGAAGGAATTGTGGGAGTTGATGTCCAAAATACCTGGTGGGCCCAAGTTGGCCCATACCTGTGCCATGAGTATGTAATCCACATACTGAAGGAATTGTGGAAGTCCAAAACACCTGGTGGCCCATACCTGTGCCATGAGTATGTCATCCATGTACTGAAGGAAGTTGTCCACATACTGAAGGTATTGTGGGACTTGAAATCCAAAACACCTGGAGGGCCAAAGTTTGCCCATGCCTGCTCAAACCCAAAGGATGGGAAGTCACTTACAACAGGAGGGGTGGGAGGAGGGAAGTATTGTATACATGTAGGAAATATTGCACTGCTTCATGTATATATGCATGTGTATAGATTTGTATTGTTGTTTTTTTATACATGTGTAAAATGCCCAAAGGAAGGTGATTAATGAATGTGGCGACTACTACTTTGTCACAGTAATGTTTATAATCTTAATTCGACTAGTATTGTCCCAGCGACATAAATATTTGGCTGGTGGTTGTTGCTGTTGCAAGACGGCTTGCCGTCCTTTCCAGGAACCTGTGAAGCTGAGAGTAACCTAATTGCCATCCTCGAAAACATAAAATACGTGAATGAAAAAGAGCAGGAATGATTCAGCAGCATCAAGGAGGCTAATGCAATTAAGGCTTTCTTTTCAGGCAGAAATTGGATTAATTTCCCCTTCCTTTCAGCTTCGGGATTTATGTCGAAGGGCCCTTAGTCTAAGATGGTTATGAAATCTGTCATGGGTGATCTCCGCACAAAAGGCTTCCTGGGGAGCAGGCCCATAACAAAGCATCCGATCTAGGGCGCCTTTGTCCTTGGGTAACCAGCAGGAACTTTTGCAATGGCCGCCGCCAGCCATTGACCATCTTGCGGCATTGTTTTTACCTCTCGGCCACAAAGGAAGGCATCAAAAAAGTGTAAATTAGCCAGGACTGCTTTTCAGGATGTGACTTTCCAGCCAGGGAAGAGAAACAGGAGCCAATTTTGGTCTATGGTGGGACAAAACATCATAATAATAATAATAATAATAATAATAACAATAACAACAACAACAACAATCAACTTTAGATCTCTTCAGGAAGAATAATAATAATTAGAAATAATTTATTATTATTATTATTATTAGTATTATTTAATAATAATAATAATAAAACTTTATATCTCTTCAGGAGATATCAAGTGGAGTATAAATAAATATATTATTATTGGGTTGTTGTAGATTTTTTGGGCTATATGGCCATGGTTTAGAGGCTTTCTCTCCTGACGTTTCGCCTGCATCTATGGTAAGCATCCTCAGGTAGATGCAGGCGAAACGTCAGGAGAGAATGCCTCTAGACCATGGCCATATAGCCCGAAAAAACCTACAACAACCCAGCGATTCCGGCCATGAAAGCCTTCGACAATACATTGAACATATTATTATTATTATTATTATTAATAATAATAATAATAATAATAATAATAATAAGTAATAAGTGGCTTACAATTAAAAGTATGACCACATCATTTAAAATATGCAAATAATAATAATAATAATAATAATAATAATAAACTTTATATCTCTTCGGGAGATCTAAAGTGGGGTAGAAATAAACATATTATTGTTATTTAATAATAATAATAATAATAAACTTTATATCTCTTCAGGAGATATAAAGTGGAGTATAAATACATATATTATTATTATTATGTTTATTTATACCCCACTTTATCTCTCCCAAAGGAGACTCAAAGTGGCTTACAATTAAAAGTATGATCACATCAGTTAAAATATGCAAATATGCAAACATTATTATTATTATTATTATGTTTATTTATGCTCCACTTTATCTCTCCCAAAGGAGACTCATAGTGCCTTACAATTAAAAGTATTTAAAATATGCAAATAATAATAATAATAATAATAATAATAATCTTTATATCTCTTCAGGGGGTAGAAAGTGGAGTATAAATAAACATATTATTATTATTATGTTTATTATTATTATGTTTATTATTATTATGTTTATTATTATTATGTTTATTTATACCCCACTTTATCTCTCCCAAAGGAGACTCATAGTGCCTTACAATTAAAAGTATTTAAAATATGCAAATAATAATAATAATAATAATCTTTATATCTCTTCAGGGGGTAGAAAGTGGAGTATAAATAAACATATTATTATTATGTTTATTATTATTATTATTATTATTATTATGTTTATTTATACCCCACTTTATCTCTCCCAAAGGAGACTCAAAGTGGCTTACAATTAAAAGTATGATCACATCAGTTAAAATATGCAAATATGCAAACATTATTATTATTATTATTATGTTTATTTATGCTCCACTTTATCTCTCCCAAAGGAGACTCATAGTGCCTTACAATTAAAAGTATTTAAAATATGCAAATAATAATAATAATAATAATCTTTATATCTCTTCAGGGGGTAGAAAGTGGAGTATAAATAAACATATTATTATTATGTTTATTATTATTATGTTTATTATTATTATGTTTATTATTATTATGTTTATTTATACCCCACTTTATCTCTCCCAAAGGAGACTCAAAGCGGCTTACCATTAAAAGCATGACCACATCATTTAAAATATGCAAATATGCAAACATTAAAACAGAATTAAACACAAAAGTATTAAAATTCACAGTTGAAATCCATGAAAACATATTCAAAACTAAAAGAACATGGGAAACCTGTTGAGCCTTAGACTCCGATGGGTCTGATCCTCCGTTTGCGAGCGCTGTGGGTGCAACAACACCAGGAAGGCCCCACAAACAAGCTGCCAATCTTAACTGTGTTTGTGTCTGATCAGAAATGAGTTCTTGGTATATAAGAAGCACATCTTTATAATGCTTAATTTTTTCAAAAGGCACTAAACGTATGTGTGTGTGTGCCTGTTTTGTCTTTTTCTTGCAGTAAAGAGAGCAGAATGAATGGGCAGTATCAGCAGCCAGCAGATAGTCTAAACAACGATAATAAGTAAGTATTGCTGCAATCCGCCATTCTTCTTCTTTTTGCTCAGGTAGAATCAATTCTGCAGTGTGCACTGGAGATCTGTGGAGCTCTGTATGTGAGCATGAAAGCATATATAGGGGTACTGTGAGTTTTCCGGGCTGTATGGCCCTGTTCCAGAAGCATTCTTTCCTGACGTTTCGCCCACATCTATGGCAGGCATCCTCCAGTTGTGAGGTCTGTTAGAAACTAGGAAAATGGGGTTTATATGCCTGTGGAATAATGTCCAGAGTGGGAGAAAGATGTCCAGAGAGGGCAAAAGATCTTGGAAAACTACAGCTGCATTGCTTTGAGCGAGATTTTGCTAATGTTGCAGGAGGTGTCCCAATCTTCTTCTTCTCCTCTTTCTTCTCCTTCTCCTTCTCCTCCTTCTCCTCCTTCTCCTTCTCCTCCTTTTTTTATTATTATTATTATTATTATTATTATTATTAGTAGTAGTAGTAGTAGTAGTAGTATTTGAAACACAACAAGATGAGTCCACAGCAGACAAGATCACTCTGCTGGCTGTTGTATTGGATCACACGTCGGACACTTCCCAAGTGTCTAGGACTGTGTGATGTATCGGCGAATAATGCGAGCAGATCCCAGTAAGGTGGCCTTCTGCAGCTGGCAAATGGTAATTTTGTCAGCGCCGATTGTCTTTAAGTGCAGGCCAAGGTCTTGAGGCGCTGCACCCAGTGTACCCATCACCACTGGGACCTTTGCAAACTTGGCATCCTTTGACCAGTATCTGGCCACTTGGAGTGCTTCTGGTGTTGCTGCAAGAAGGTCCTCCATTGTGCATCATGTGGCAGGGCTTGGAGTGCATTTGCAGCAGGTGGTCAGTGGTTTGCTCTTCTCCACACTCGTGTGTCGTTGACTCCTCTTTGTAGCCCCATTTCTTGAGGTTGGCTCTGCATCTCGTGGTGCCAGAGCGCAGTCTGTTCAGCGCCTTCCAAGTCGCCCCGTCTTCTGTGTGCCCAGGGGGGAGTCTCTCATTTGGTATCAGCCATTGGTTGAGGTTCTGGGTTTGAGCCTGCCACTTTTGGACTCTCGCTTGCTGAGGTGTTCCAGCGAGTGTCTCTGTAGATCTTAGAAAACTATTTCTTGATTTAAGTCATTGACGTGCTGGCTGATACCCAAACAGGGGATGAGCTGGAGATGTCTCTGCCTTGGTCCTTTCACTATTGGCTGCTACTTCCTGGCGGATGTCAGGTGGTGCAATACCGGCTAAGCAGTGTAATTTCTCCAGTGGTGTAGGGCGCAGACACCCCGTGATAATGCGGCATGTCTCATTAAGAGCCACATCCACTGTTTTAGTGTGGTGAGATGTGTTCCACACTGGGCATGCATACTCAGCAGCGGAGTAGCACAGTGCAAGGGCAGATGTCTTCACTGTGTCTGGTTGTGATCCCCAGGTTGTGCCAGTCAGCTTTCGTATTATATTGTTTCTAGCACCCACTTTTTGCTTGATATTCAGGCAGTGCTTCTTGTAGGTCAGAGCACGGTCCAGAGTGACTCCCAGGTATTTGGGTGCGCTGCAATGCTCCAGTGGGATTCCTTCCCAGGTAATAATCCTCAGAGCTTGGGATGCTTGTCTGTTCTTAAGGTGAAAGGCACATGTCTGTGTTTTGGATGGATTAGGGATCAGCTGATTTTCCCTGTAATAGGCAGAAAGGGCACCTTACTTACTTTACTTACTTAGGCGATCCCTCGCTTTCCGAGGATGATTGTCTTCCAATATTCTGGTGGGTCCGTATGTGGCTGTGGAGCCCTATTCTTGCTCTGCATCTTCTTCCGCAGTGAGGGCATTGGTTTCCAGGTGGAAGGCGGTCTCGGCCGGGGTTGGCTTGACGCGCCTTCCTCTTGGCACGTTTCTCTTTTTCACCCTCCACTCGTCCCTCCTCAAATTCTGCAGCACTGCTGGTCACAGCTGACCTCCAGCTGGAGCGCTCAAGGGCCAGAGCTTCCCAGTTCTCAGTGTCTATGCCAGAGTTTTTAAAGGGCACCTAGAGCTTCGGAGAGCTGCTGTTCAACCATCTCAAAGGTATTAAAGTTATTCAAGTCATGGACTCTGAAACTTTCAAACTTCTTCACCCAACACCGCACATTGCTGATGTCCATTATAGCATCCCCATAAACATACGATGATGGATTTCCGTAATGCACAGCCTTCTTTTGCCAGAAATTCAATGACAACTTTTTCTTTCAGCTTCAGATTCATGGTTCTAATCAGTCAATATGACCAAGACTATTATATCAATAGAGTAAAATGAGCTCTTTCCTATCATGCATATAGTCCAGGTAGCTGGGAAAGGAAGAGAAGTTAGAGCGATGGAGGCATTGTGACGCGTCCTCGTATTTTGGACTGCAAGTTTCATCAATACGACCGACGGTCAATGGCGATGGTGGAGAGAGTGCCAAGCTGAGGAGGGCATTCTTCATCTCTGGTTGATGTCTTGAACACCTTCCAGCTTGGATCTATTTGAACAGCCATTTGAAAATGCTCGTCCCAGATTTAAAGGACTAATAAAAGCAGTGCAAACAGAAAGAGCTGCAAATAGGTAGATGGCAGCAGGAGGAGCAGGTGTTTGTGCGGGAGAAGCCCAAACCCGGGACATAACACTTGCCTTTTGTCAAACGAAGCGCATTCCGTGTTTACCCAGAAATTTGTGGCACTCGTTTTAGCTCCGTTCCACTCGTACAGGAAGAAGGTGGGCGCTTTGAGAAAAGAGTATGAAACATTTCAGTTTTTCTTTGCAAAAGAGTTACCAGCAAGGTGGGCCTTCCGAAGAACTCTTCCAGGAATCAGACTTACTTACTTAGGTGATCCCTCATTGTCCGAGTAGGATAATCCTCCAGGGTGGGTCCATAGGTGGCTGTGGAGCCCTATTCTTGACCGGCATCTTCTCCCACAATGAGGGCATTGGTTTGCAGACGGAAGGTGGTCCCAGTCGGGATTGGGTTGGCTTGACGCACCTTCCTCTTGGCACGTTTCTCTCTTTCGCCCTCCATTCGTGCCTCTTCAAATTCTACAGCACTGCTGGTCACAGCTGACCTCCAGCTGGGAGCGTTCAAGGTCCAGGGCTTCCCAGTTCTCAGTGTCTATGCCAGAGTTTTTAAGGTTGGCTTTGAGCCCATCTTTAAATCTCTTTTCCTGCCCACAAACATTCCGTTTTCCATTCTTGAGTTCGGAGTAGAGCAACTGCTTTGGGAGATGGTGGTTGGGCATCCGGACAACGTGGCCGGTCCAGCGGAGTTGATGGCGGAGGACCATCGCTTCAGTGCTGGTGGTCTTTGCTTCTTCCAGCACTCGTGACATTTCTCCGCTTGTCTTCCCAAGAGATTTGCAGGATTTTCCGGAGGCAGCACTGATGGAATCGTTCCAGGAGTTGCATGTGATATCTGTGGACAGTCCATGTCTTGCAGGCATATAGCAGGGTTGGGAGGGCAATAGCTTTATCAACAAGCACCTTGGTATCCCTACGGATGTCCCGGTCCTCAAATACTCTGCTTCATTCGGAAAAATGCTGCACTCGCAGAGCTCAGGCGCTGTTGTATTTCAGTGTCAATGTTGACTTTGGTGGAGAGGTTCCCAAGTGTCTCGGACTGTGTGATGTATCGGCGAATAATGCCTGCAGATCCCAGTAAGGTAGCCTTTTGCAGCTGGCAGATGGTAATCTTGTCAGCGCCAATTGTGTTTAAGTGCAGACCAAGGTCTTTAGGCACTGCACCCAGTGTGCCAATCACCACTGGGACCCCCTTGACTGGCTTGTGCCAGAGTCTTTGCAGTTCGATCTTTAAATCCTCATTTTTCTTACTATTCTTATTATTTGTACCCTGCTTTTTTTCCCTAAAAAAGGCACTCAGAACTTTGGTTTCTCAAAATGCTACTGGTAATTCCTAAAGGCCTGAACTTCTGGAGTTGCCAATGTGGAGATGTCCTTGCTGAGGGACAAACGTATTAAGACTGAAAAGGCATTCCTTCCACTGTCTGAGGCCTTGTCCCTTGACCTAACTGCTCTTTCTCCGTTTCTCCTCCCGCCAGGTATTCCTTGTTTGCAGTAGTTAATCACCAGGGAACCCTGGAGAGCGGGCACTATACCAGCTTCATCCGGCAACACAAGGACCAGTGGTTCAAATGTGACGATGCCATCATCACCAAGGCTAGCATTAAGGATGTACTAGACAGTGAAGGGTAGGTTTTGCATGACGCTCACGGGTGGAGAACAGCCTCCCAGAGAGGCAAAATATGTCAGTTTTGATTGCTTTCTTTTCAGAATGATGGTGAAGTATGAGAAGCAGCAAACTACGTATATAGGAGAAGAAAGAGAGGGGAGGCACATACAATTCAAAACAGTTTCCCTTTCTCTCGTCCCCACCAACCGTGCTTGAGACGGTAGTGGGACCGAGAGGAGGGCCTCCCCGGAAGATCTTAGAGCTCATGCCGGTTCATAGAAGGAGATGCGATCACAGAGATAGGCGGGGAGGGATGGGGCCTGTTTTTTTTTCCCTTGGAAGGGCGTTCCAGAGACGGGGGCCACCACTGAGAAGGCCCTCTCTCTCGTCCCCACCAACCATGCTTGAGACGGTAGTGGGACCGAGAGGAGGGCCTCTCCGGAAGATCTTAGAGCTCGTGCCGGTTCATAGAAGGAGATGCGATCGCAGAGATAGGCGGGGAGGGATGGGACCTGTCTTATTTCCCTTGGAAGGGTGTTCCAGAGACGGGGGGCCACCACTGAGAAGGCCCTCTCTCTCATCCCCACCAACCGCGCTTGAGACGGTAGTGGGACCGAGAGGAGGGCCTCCCTGGAAGATCTTAGAGCTCGTGCTGGTTCATAGAAGGAGATGCGATCACGGAGATAGGTGGGGAGGGATGGGGCCTGTCTTATTTCCCTTGGAGGGGCATTCCAGAGATGGGGGGCCACCACTGAGAAGGCCCTCTCTCTCGTCCCCACCAACCGCGCTTGAGACGGTAGTGAGAGAAGGGCCTCTCTGGAAGATCTTAGAGCTCGTGTCGGTTCATAGAAGGAGATGCGATCACGGAGATAGGTAGGGCCCAAACCGTTTAACCATTACTAATTTGTGTGGGAATTCTCACACCTTTTCTCTTCCATAATTTCGTCCAGCCTAGGCAATGCCAACGTACACAAACACAAGAAGTATACAGATTGAAACCCCTTGCAGTGTTCCGGAGCCCAATTTCCGTGCACTCTCTTTCCCTGCCTGACTTAGCATTGTAATTGTTGTCATTCCTTTAGGTTTTCTTTCTAGGTTCCAAATCTGACCAGACTTTGCTTTGCTTTCAAGCATGTAACTGTCTAGTCCCGATCCAGAATAGATGGCGGCATACCACGATGAGTCATTGGCTCTAAATTATTCAGAGTGTCACAGCATGACCACGAGCAGGAAGGGAGTGGGAGAACGCGTGGCAGCCAGTTAGCAAAGCCACCTCCCTGGGATCTTTCCTACCTTGTAAGAAAATGCTCTGCTTTCAGAATAGACTCCCTCTGCTTTCTGGCCAGAGTGAAGACAGAACAGAAACAGAAGACATTTCCATCTTGTCTTTACTAATAATATAATATAGTATATTGTATATAATTATAATATTATAATGTAATATAATATAATACTAGTAATAATTATTATCACTTGTTCACCCTGGGGACGTGGAGGAGGTCCTTGGTGCTGTGAGGGTGACCACATCGGCTCTGGACCCTTGCCCGTCTTGGCTAATTAAATCAGCCAGGGAGGGGTTGGTTGATTGGTTTGTGTTGATCATTAATGCATCGTTGGAGCAGGGAATTTTCCCATCTCGGCTAAAACAAGCTGTGGTTCAAGCACTTCTGAAAAAGACATCCCTTGACTCCATGGTGCTGAACAACTACAGACCTATCTCCAACCTCCCTTTTTTGGGCAAGATCCTGGAGCAGGTGGTCGCCTCCCAGCTCCAGGGTTTTCTGGATGACATCAATTACCTGGACCAGTCACAGTCTGGCTTCAGACCTGGCCACGGCACCGAGACGGCCTTGGTCACCTTGGTGGATGACCTCCGCAGAGAACTGGACAGGAGGAGTGTGACCCTGCTGGTTCTCCTCGACATCTCAGCAGCTTTCAATACCATCAATCATGGTATCCTTCTGGGACAACTCTCCGGGATGGGCCTTGGGGGCGTGGTTCTATCGTGGCTCCTGCCTTCCTGGAGGGTCGATCCCAGATGGTGAAGCTGGGAGACGCCTGCTCGGACCCCTGGCCTTTGACCTGTGGGGTCCTGCAAGGCTCTATTCTGTCTCCCATGCTTTTTAACATCTACATGAAACCGCTGGGAGAGGTCATCCGGAGTTTTGGAGTTGGGTGCCATCTCTACGCAGATGACACACAACTCTACTACTCTTTTCCACCTAACTCCAAGGAAGCCCCTCGAGTGCTGGACAGTGCCTGGCCGCTGTGTCTATCTGGATGAGGAAGAACAAGCTGAAGATCAATCCCAACAAGACAGAGGTCCTCCTGGTGGATCGTAAACCAGATCGGGGTATAGGGTGGCAACTGGTGCTGGACAGGGTTACACTCCCCCTGAATTCACAGGTCCGCAGTTTGGGTGTCCTCTTAGACTCATCACTTACGCTTGAAGCTCAGGCGGTGGCCGGGAGGGTCTTTGCACAATTAAGACTTGTACGCCAACTGCGACCGTACCTCGTGAAGGCGGATCTGGCCAAGGTGGTCCACGCCTTAGATTGGACTACTGTAATGCACTCTATGTGGGGTTGCCCTTGAAAAGCGGCTCGGAAATTTCAATGGTCCAACGGGCGGCAGCCAGGTTAACTGTTGTGCTCCTTACAGGGAGAGGTCAACCCTCCTGTTTAAGGAGCTCCATTGGCTGCCGTTCATTTTCCGGTCCCAATTCAAGGTGCAGGTGCTTACCTACAAAGCCCTAAACGGTTTGGGACCCGCCTACCTGCGTGACCGCATCTCTGTATATGAACCCACACAATCTCTCCGATCATCTGGAGAGGCCCTGCTCACGATCCCACCTGCGTCGCAAGCGCGATTGGTGGGGACGAGGGATAGGGCCTTCACGGTGGTGGCCCTTCGACTCTGGAACTCTCCCTAAGGACATCAGGCAGGCCCCATCACTAGCAATCTTTAGGAGGAGCTTGAAAACGTGGTTGTTCCAGTGTGCCTTCCCAGAATAAGGAAACTCCTAGCATTATGTCCCAACGCACTTTATCAGAGATCCAGGATATCTACATGCCCATCCCCCTCCAAACACTCCACCTGGTCACGCCCAGCACTTTTTAATTTTAATTATTACATTAGGAACTTCCATTGATTTTAATTGTGTCATTGTGTGTTGTTAATGTTATTGCTTTATTTTTTTAAAAGTTATTTTGCTGTTTGTTGTTGCTGTTGTTTTTACTATTGTATTTGGGCTTGGCCTCTTATAAGCCGCACCGAGTCCTTCGGGAGATGGTAGCGGGGTACAAATAAAATAATAATAATAATAATAATAATAATAATTATTATTATTATTATTATTATTATTATTATTATTGTCTCACCCCTGTTCTGAACTAGGTGTTGGATGTAAGTAGGATGCCTGTCTTTTAGACTTAGGCGATCCCTCGTTGGACGAGTAAGATGGTCTTCCATCATGGGTTTCCTTGTGGGTCCGTATGTGGCTGTGGAGCCCTATTCTTGCTCTGCATCTTCTTCCGCAGTGAGGGCATTGGTTTCCAGGTGGAAGGCGGTCCCGGTCGGGGTTGGCTTGACACGCTCCTCCTGGCACGTTTCTCTCTTTCACCCTCCACTCGTGCCTCCTCGAATTCTGCAGCACTGCTGGTCACAGCTGACCTCCAGCTGGAGCGCTCAAGGGCCAGGGCTTCCCAGTTCTCAGTGTCTATGCCAGAGTTTTAAGGTTGGCTTTGAGCCCATCTTTAAATCTCTTTTCCTGTCCACCAACATTCCGTTTTCCGTTCTTAAATTCAGAGCACAGTTATTTATTTATTTATTATTTACTTTATTTGTATACCGCACTATCTCAGCCCGTAGGCGACTCAGTGCGGTTTACAACAGGTCAGTATACAAAGTGCACAGCATTAGCATTAACATTTACACAGTAACTAAAGCAATTAAAACAATACAACAGTAGATCAGTAAATCAACATAACATCAATACATCCATATAACTAATCCAACACGTCTCTTCAGTAAAGTCATAATCCGATCTCCTCGTCTATTATTCCAAGTTCCAAAATCAGCCAGTTGATTGCACTGCTTAATTAAACGCCTGTTCGAAGAGCCAGGTCTTCACTCTTCTCCTGAACACCAGTAGGGAGGGGGCCGATCTAACGTCCGTGGGGAGGGCGTTCCACAGCCGAGGGGCCACCACTGAGAAGGCCCTGCAACTTGGTGACTGCCCTGTAATGTTTTGTTCTTACTTTGTTTGTCTTCCTTCCACTTCCAGCTATTTGCTGTTCTATCACAAACAGTTCCTGGAATACGAGTAGCCTTACGCAGCAGCTCGGGAAAGAGAGAAGGAATCCAAACGTAAGGAAGCAAAAGGAACGGCAGCCTTCTGAAAAGACACACAAACCTACCTGAAATTTTTTTTAAACAGACACCCATTCGACACCTCGCACTGACCTGTGGCCGGACCTGCTTGCCGCGGCTGCCTCTTGGCTTACGGGAGATACAAACAATGTGAGCGACGACGTCCCCCGCGCCTGCCGTCCTGCAGAGGGACCGGCGAGGGGGAAACCGCCAGGGTGACTACCGTCAGTGACTTTGAGAGAAGAACTACAATAATGCAAAAGATGGCTCTGGGTGGGGGAAAGGGGGCTGAGCAGGTGGGGGGGGCAGACCCCCTTCTTTCGGCTCCTCTGGAAACGTGTGTGTGGGAAGGCGCCGGGAGGGGGGTGTCCTCTCATCTCCATAAGCATCTTCTCGCATTGGTGCTTCAGCTCCAACTTGACCAATCATACAACCGTTATAATTTTAACAAAACGAAAAAAAAACCCACACAAAACAAAACCCAAGCCCATTTTTTTTTACACATATGGGTCGGAAAGCAGTGGAAAAAAATGGAGAAGAATTGGGACGACGCAATGACATGGACTTTGCAAGTACCTTTTTATTTGTGAATTTTAGTTATTAAATAAATACAGTATGAAATGACCAGGGTGTTTGTTGTTTTGGAAAGAAGCCTGGGTTTTGCACGGCCGGAGTCTTGAGCGACCAGTTTTGCACGGCCAGGTCACTCACTCACGCAGGACAACCCAGGTCTGGACATCATAAGGGTTGGCACGGGGTCTTTTCTTTTTTTTATTACATCCCCCGTCTTTTTATTGTCAAAGGCAATCATGGCCGGAATCACTTGGTTGCTGTGTGTGTTTTCCAGGTTGTCTGACCATTTTCCAGAAGCACTCCCTCCTGACATTTCGCCTACATCTCTGGCAGGCATCCTCAGAGATTGTGAGGTCTGTTGGAAACTATGAAAGTGGGTTATATATCTGTGGAATGATGTCCAGGGTGGGAGAAAGAACTCTTGTCTGTTGGAGGCAGGTGTGAATGCTGGGCCAACTTGATTAGCATTGAATGGCCTTGCAGCTTCAAGGTCTGGCTGCTTACTGCCTGTTTATATATCTGTGGAATGTCTAGAGTGGGAGAAAGAACTCTTGTCTGTAAAACTCTAAAATCATAACAGTAAATAAAGAACAACACTAAAAAACGGGAATTCCAGACACGAAACAATCAGGGTCAACTAATCACCTCCCAACAAAGGATTTCCCCAGGCAGTAAGAAGCCAGACCTTGAAAACTGCTAGGCCATCAAATGCTAATCAAGGTGGCCAATTGAAACATCCAGACCTAAGGTTTATATATCTGTGGAATATCAGGGTGGGAGAAAGAACTCTTGTCTGTTGGAGGCAAGTGTGAATGTTGCAACTGGCCAGCTTGATTAACATTGAATGGCCTTGCAGCTCCAAGGTCTGGCTGCTTACTTCCTGTTTATATATCTGGGGAATGATGGCCAGGGTGGGAGAAAGAACTCTTGTCTGTTGGAGCCAGGTGTGAATGTAGATCTTAAATCATAACAGTAAATAAAGAACAACACTCAAAAACAGGGGAATTCCAGACAAGAAACAATCAGGGCAGCTAATCACCTCTCAACAAAGGATTCCCCCAGGCAGTAAGAAGCCAGACCTTGAAACTGCTAGGCCATTCAATGCTAATCAAGGTGGCCAATTGAGATCTGTTGGAATAGGAGAATGGGGTTTATATATCTGTGGAATGATGTCCAGGGTGGGAGAAAGAACTCTTGTCTGTTGGAGGCAGGTGTGAATGTAGCTCTTAAATCATAACAGTAAATAAAGAACAACACTCAAAAACAGGGGAATTCCAGACAAGAAACAATCAGGGCCAGCTAATCACCTCCCAACAGGCATTCCCAGAGGTTGTGAGGTCTGTTGGAAACTAGGAAAGTCGGGTTTATATATCTGTGGAATGTCCAGGGTGGGAGAAAGAACTCTTGTCTGTTGGAGGCAGGTGTGAATGTTGCAACCGGCCAGCTTGATTAGCATTGAATGGCCTTGCAGCTCCAAGGTCTGGCTGCTTACTTCCTGTTTATATATCTGTGGAATTATGTCCAGGGTGGGAGAAAGAACTCTTGTCTGTTGGAGGCAGGTGTGAATGTAGCTCTTAAATCATAACAGTAAATAAAGAACAACACTCAAAACAGGGGAATTCCAGACAAGAAACCATCAGGGCCAGCTAATCACCTCCCAACAAAGAATTCCCCCAAGAAGCCAGATCTTGAAAACTGCTAGGTCATTAAATGCTAATCAAGGTATCAAGTGAGGTCTGTTGTAAACTAGGAAAATGGGTTTATATATCTGTGGAATGATGTCCAGGGTGGGAGAAAGAACTCTTGTCTGTTGGAGCCAGGTGTGAATGTTGCAACCGGCCAGCTTGATTAGCATTGAATGGCCTTGCAGCTCCAAGGTCTGGCTGCTTACTTCCTGTTTATATCTCTGTGGAATGATGTCCAGGGTGGGAGAAAGAACTCTTGTCTGTTGGGGGCAGGTGTGAATGTTGCCTGGTTTCCAACACACCTCCCAACCTCTGAGGATGCCTTCCATAGATGCAGGCGAAATGTCAGGAGCAAATGCTTCTGGAACATGGCCAAGCATGAATGAATGGCTCTCTGGATACTGTAAAATATGTTCTTGATGGTTTGGAGAGTCCTGTGAGCAAGTTTCATCTCTCTCTGGGCAACGTTGTGTTGGGTGTTGTTTCCGCTTTTCCTCCGCAGAGAAAGACTTCCCTCGAGGGATCCTTGGAATTGGAGACTCGGCCATCTGCTCACTCTGGCCACTGGGTGCCATTGTTGCCATGAATGCCCGGCTATTGGGTGGACCTTCTGCCTGAACACTAGGCGCGTGGTGGTAAACAAAGGCTTCCCCCTGACGCTCCCCTTTTATTGGTCCCTTCTCTCTCTGAGATATTAATTTCCCCCCTAGATCACTCCTCTTCTTCTCTGGCTTTGTCGTTGCCTTCTGGGAGTGTGGCTTGCTTCTGCTTTGTCACAGATGCCTCCTCGTCGTCGTTCATGTGCCTTTCTCCCCCCTCTCCCCCTCCTTGCTGTCTAGACAGTGGCTGGGCCTCCACATGGGATGTCGATGTGAAAACCAGGAGGCGGGGACACATGTGATTTGCTGCGCAGGGAGGAAAAAAGGGGGCTTATTTGCCTTGCCAAACCCACCCTGAATGCATGGCTTCCCAAAAGAAGCTGTACACCCTCACAACAGGAACTGGTGCCGCATTCGCCTTTTGTTTTGTTTTTCACATTGAGTGTAACCTTTCTTTGTGTTGGAAGTGACAACAAGAAAAGGGGCCCCTGCCTCTGGTTGGCTCCGGGGCCCCTCAGGGTCCTCTTGGATTGGTTCAAGGCACTACTTTTGCACCTTAACTTAAAGGCAGTTCTCTGATACTAAACTTCTGCAGTCCCAGAACTACTGTATTTACTTGAAGCTAAAACTCACCTTCTTGGACTAAATTTTATTTATTTATCATGTCAGAAGTAAATTAAGAATACAGTTATGATATATTTAAAAAAACCACATACAAAGTTAAAAAGTTGGCATGACGCTTAATTGTGCATGTGCCAGGGCTCAGGTTGCATTGCAGTACGTGGTCTGGTTTGTAATGTGTGTGTGTATGTGGATAGATAGATAGATAGATAGATAGATAGATAGATAGATAGATAGATGCAGTAAGTGGTCTGTGGTTTGTAATGTGTGTGTGTATGTGTATAGATAGATAGATATATAGGTATAGATGAGGAAGCTTGCCATAGATGCAGGCGAAACGTCAGGAGAAATGCCTCTAGAACATGGCCATATAGCCCGA